CGGAAGGGCGATAAGGCGGTGTCTGCGGCCGCTGTGAGCAGAGGTGACCGCGGCACCCGCGCCCGGGGGTGGCGGATAGCGGCCTCGAGTGCGGCGCTAAAACCGGGGCTGAGCCTTCATGAGCCTTTCTGAATTACGGGTGGGTTGTCGGCTCAGAGCCATTTCCTTCCTGAGGAGGCTGGATGTGGTACTGGTGCTTGCCATGTACGTGTCTAGTTGCTGAGCAACCTAAAAGTGCTAAAATTACTTGATTCCAAATGATTCATTAGAGCAGTAAATATCACAAGTGGAAAGGTCAAGCGCTTTCATTACCGTTGCTGGCAACTCCTTATTGGGACAAAGGGAAGAAAAAAGTGTCACGTAATTGGGATAGCTGGCTGTGAGGAGAGCTTTGAAATAACATCTTTTTCATATAATTTTTTCCATCTAGCTAAACATCCAGAAATAAAGGCATTGATGAAGCCAGACTACAACCTGATCTGGGTGGTTGTGCTGATGGTTTTGGCGCAGTTGACTGCATTCTATCTGGTTAAAGACTTGGATTGGAAATGGGTGGTCTTCTGGGCTTATGTTTTTGGAAGCTGTATTAGCCACTCCATGACTCTGGCTATTCATGAGATTTCCCACAACAGTGCCTTTGGCAACAGCAAAGCCATGTGGAATCGATGGTTTGGAATATTTGCCAACCTCCCTCTTGGTCTCCCCTACTCCATATCCTTCAAGAGATACCACATGGATCATCATCGTTACTTAGGTGGTGACGGCATCGATGTGGATATTCCTACCAACTTTGAAGGCTGGTTCTTCTGCACCCGTTTTAGGAAGTTCATATGGATTGTTCTTCAGCCTTTTTTCTATGCCATTAGACCTCTCTGCATAAATCCTAAACCAATTACTCGACTTGAAGTAATCAATTTATTGGCTCAGCTTGTCTTTGATGTGGCAATATATTATTTATGGGGAGTCAAATCCATTTTTTACATGCTTGCTGGTTCAGTACTTGGTCTTGGGTTGCACCCAATTTCAGGACACTTTATAGCTGAACATTACATGTTTTTAAAAGGACATGAGACCTATTCCTACTATGGTCCACTTAATTTGCTTACTTTTAATGTTGGCTATCACAATGAACATCACGACTTCCCCAATATTCCTGGCAAGAGCCTTCCACTGGTAAGTTAACTTCCAAGGTTATTACTTTTTCTTAAATTAAGGCCTACTTCAAACATGAAAATAAGGTAGAACACTGACAGAAGAATGGAAGTTGGGAGATTAAAAACAAACAAAACCCCACAGTTTATAGCTGAGTAATAAAGAAGGTAATTATTTAGCATTTTAGTGGTATCCTGAACAAGCTTCTAGTTTGTTGCTACTTACTCCTGTTCCATAAAAGTTGAGGGGAGGGAATGCATGTCTTAGGTTTTGCACTGACTTTAGCTTTCTGTAATTACAACTTGTCTTCTGAATTCTTGTTTGTAAGTATGCAAAAAACTAGTTAAGGGGTTGCATATAGCTCTGGAGATCTGTTATCTCTGTCACTGAAATGTTAAGGACAGTATTGTAATGTGTGCTTATCCTTCAGTCTCTTCTATCAGGGACATCCTCTGGTGGGGGAAAAGAGAGGGTTTGAGGTACTGTTAATGTTTGTTGAGCTGTTGACAAATGTTTAATAACTTCTCTAGTCCAAAGCACTTCAGTTTCCTCTATCAAGAGCCTTTGAACCCAAATTAAGTATCAGCTGTACATTGGCAGTATGGGACAGGCAGAGTTAAGAGTTCTAAGCCAGGACTTAGACCTGTCATGCCTGCATGAGTAGCAGAGGTGACGTTTCTTCTCACTTCAAGCTTAGCTTACAGCCAGAGCTACTTTCTCACTGTATCCATGTTTCCAAATTGAAGCATGGGAACACAGACTTCAGGGTTAAATCTGAATCTTCAGTTTTTCATCAGACACTAAATTTGCAATTTGACAGCAGCTGTGGTGTTGGTCTTCAGCTTTGTTATTGCATTTGGCAATACCGTGACCTTGTAAGATCATCCCTCTGGTGAAGTCTAAACTTGATTGGTATTTCTGTTGTCAGTGGTGGAACTGCAGCTGAAATAAGTATGCCAGCACTTCTAGCAGGGCAGGTAGATCATGCAATTGGTTTGTTGAGGCTTTGTGTGTTTCTTTTTTTTACCTTTGTTTTTAAAGATGGATGATTGCTTTTATTCATAGATTTAAATCTTTCAAATGGTGCAAAAGTTACTTTAACTCACCTTTGATACTTGGGTCTGTGCTGTGAACCAGCATTTCACTCCTTGGACAGGTACTTTAAGTAGGGCATGAATTTTTCCAAGTACTTAATTCTAGGGGTAGATACCCAGTTCTGCTGCAGGATTTGTAATCCACAGTTCTGATAAGAAAACAAAGCCTTCTTCTGGAACAGTGCAGCTAATTTGATTGGATTGGACTCTGCTGTGCTGTGTACTAGTAATCAAGTACTGAACACTTGATTCCTCAGCACTGCTGAGCTGAGAGTTATTACTGTTGAGTAAAAGTACATTGCCTAGGTGCAATAGGTGTGATGATGGGTCAAAACAAGCTTTGCCTTCAAACCAGCCATGTAAATACTTTGGGTTTGTTTGTTGCTTATACAGACTGAGATTATTCTTTGGACTAAAGCAGTGGAATTTTGTGAAAAATCCTTTTTGTTCTGTTCATGTTTTTAAGGCTTTAAGTGATTGACCCTAAATAGCAGTACAGGCACCTAGCTGAACCTGCTGCTCTCAGTCTAAACAGTGGTCTAGTTAACATGTGTAACTGAGAACAGTCTTTGGAAACAGTTTATATTCATTCTTTGAAGTCTGTCTTCAGAAACAAAATATTCTTCAGAAATAAAATGCCTCCTCTGAGTACT